CCCCTAGGGAAGCCCTGAATATTAACACTCTATTCATTACTATTGTACCTGTGTCTCTAGGACTTTTTGGATGATAGAAGCTAAAGTAATTTTTCAAATGCAGACCCTCAAAGCTGCTTCTGTGCATGTGTTACACATTGGTAGAGGTTGAAGCAGGACATGGTCCTTCTGAACCTCTGACCTGTGTTTTAGGCCTGCTGGCCTGCAAGTATTTAACAATTGTCAATGGACCAGCACTAACTGAGCAGTGATTGTTGTGGCATTAGAGCCCTTGCTATGTCCTAGCTACAGATATTTAATAAGTAGTATTTGTTTGTTGGCATTATCCTCTCTTGCTTGATTAAAGCTCCCAGTTGTGTAAGTTTGAGAGTAACAGGTATGTTAAAAATGGAGATCTTCCCAACTTAGATCTGCTGGTGTTGGAAATATGCCATGGCTGGCAAGGGAGGGAGACTGAAGCTTTGTCGTTATCCGTGCCTCAAATGTAAATGAGGCAAACTGCGATCCCTGTTGACATTTATCTCTGCTTGAAATCGCTTGCCTACAAAATGGACATGTCATAGGTGGCTAGCTATTAATGACTGGCATGGGCAGATTCCCAGCCCAGACTTGTGTAATTAAGCCCCTCTTGCACTTCTTTTTCCTCCAAGCACTGATTATTTCAGTGATAGCTTGGGACAAACGCAGAAGAATGTAGGATTTAGCCTTTATTCTGTAAAATGCTTCAATTATCCTGTATCTGTGAAAGGCAACTAGTTCTGTGAGTCATAGAATAATTTCTGTAATACTTTTGCTAACAGCAAGACAGTGTTAAAAGTAGCCTTCAACTGATGGTGTTGGAAATCCACCTGTGGCAGCTTCAGGAAGTTTTACAGAACACATGGTACAGCTTTTATTTTACAGTCTGTCCCACCAAGCTTTAGGATAAACCAGACATGTACCAGGAGTGGAGCTTTGGTAAAGATGTTAGTGAAAATGTGCCGATCATGGTGATATCACTACCCCTTGGTAACCTGTCAGGTGCTATTTCAGTACCAGAGGCAGCTGATGGTGAGCATGATGTCTTCCTCTGTGGTCTGGAGTGTTCTGTCTCTGTACACTTTACAAAGCTGAGTCTAGGAGGTATGGCTCAAGTGTTGTGCAAGCAGATGTCTCTGCAAAGCATTGAGCATAGCTGGCTAGGATCACATTGAAAGACCTTCATCAGCATGTGCCTGATGCCCTGTGCTTGGAGTCCAAGCTTTTCTAGACTTTAAACAGGCCTTTCAGAAGAAAAGAAATTAAAAATGAAGAGAAAGGCAAACCCCAGCATGCCCTTTAGCTAAGGAAACTTTGAGGAATTCTCTTCTGAACTGGATCCAAGTGATATTTCTGCACTTCACTGAGTATGTATTGATAATGTCATGCTGAGCTGTACAAAACCCTTGTTCGCTCTGGTCCAGTTCAGGAAGTTGCAAGTCCATAAAGCATCCTCTGTGATGATCCAGTCATTTTATCCCCTGTTGTAAAAAGGGCCAGAGAAAAAGAAAGGATGGGGGAAAGTCAAAGATCCAGGTATGGGGTGATAAATATGCAAACTGGCATAGCTCTAGAAATCTCTGGGTGGGAAGGGAGGGGAGTGTGTGTGTGTGATGGTTATCCTAGTCTGGAATAGCAGATTATGGTAGTGAGGCAGCAATGATCTTTCGTTAGTGGTTCTGTATCAACTGAAGCATTAGCACAGTAATGAGGAACTGGGATGGTAACTTCGGAGAGAAGGTATGAGTCTTCATGGATGAGCTTTATTGGCTATGCTTTGAAGTTAGAAATCTGATTTGGTCTTGGCAGTCTTTAACCAAATCTTTAACCTTGATGAGCAACCAAATTTATTCCATATAATGAGCAGGTGCAGGCAGTCTGAGCTAGGAAAGTTGTCATCAGAAGTGATGAACCATGAGGATTTTGCCACACTGGGTTTGCTTCTGTAGTTAGTGAAGGGCTCATACACTGGTTGTAAAGCACTCTCCTGGAATTGTGTGTCAGCAGCCCCTTGCCTCCTGGATAAAGAAGCCTATTTTAGATAAAGAAATTAAACTGCAAGAGAAATTTGCTGAGTAATCTGTTCATAGTCCCGTTGGTTTGCGGCTCTTCAAAGAAACACGTGCTGCAGGAGCTCCGTGGTTTGGTCTGAACAGAAGTCTGCTGGGTCCTCTTTTGCAGTGAGGCTGGTGCTGAAGGATATTGCTTCAGTGCTTACCAGGGCCAGTAACTCATTCAGTAAGAAAACTAAATCCTTTGTTGTATGTGAATAGGTGGGAGAAAGGAAAGAAGAGTAACTTTCCCTTTGAGTCTTTGACTTTACAGCCATATCTCTTGGAAAAGTGATAAGGATATGCAGTAGCTTTATGTCTTTATCCACCCTGTATTTTGATCATGCAGTGTCAGCCTTTCTCATCAGCATGTTTTGGAATTGTTTTAGTTTGCATTATATTTAGACATGCATTTTCTCTCTTGTACTCAGTGTAGGACATCTGGCACTGTCTGCTTCACTAAAGGTTCCCTGCTTATAATCCGGCATTTCCTGCCCTGGGCAATTAGTATCCCACAGTATAATATAAAAAGGCTGTTATTTAAGATGTATACAGGGGAATACATGGTAAAGTGACACTACTTAATATAGTCATCTGAGGGAAAGATGAATTCTTCAAAGCATCAGTCTGTTCCCTCGCCACAATAAATTCAAGTATTTGCACCTATTCGAGTATTTCCAGTTTAAGCTCCACCAGGGAGCTGTGATTAGAAGTCAGCTTGGTTTTAAGATAGCTGAGGTGACTAATTGACTAAGATGACAGTTCAAATTTGTTTCCTTCTGCCTAGTCACTGGATGTGAGATATAGGTTACTGTGTAACTGGTTTATGAGTTATTCCTGATATTAGCACCTCTTGAAGCTGTGTTTGTGCAGCTGCAGCAGATGGTCAGGATGAGAGCTGAAGGAGATGGATCAGAGTGGAAGGCATCAAAGTGGGCACAGACTGTGCTTGTGCTGGGATGAGATACCAGAGTATAAATATAACTTCAGTCTAGAGTTAGAATAACTTCTGCTGAGTGTATCCAATCAGCATATACATACTATCTAGAGAACATGAAGCGATAACCTGACTTAGATTATATATGGGTATTTTAAGGAGCTAGTAGAGATAATGCCAAAATAATATTTGCACATTAATGCTTAATATATTCATGTTTTGTCCAGTAATTCCATGAGAGAAAAGGTATTATTTCCATCTCGCAGCTAGTGGGAGAAAGGGAAGAGGAAATTTCTTGCCAATTTTGTGCTGTGAATTCCTAGTGGAATTTGATTGAGGTGCTGGAACATGCAGTGAAAAGTTCACTCTTGTAGTAACACTGTTACATGATGTAGTAAAAGCCAACTGGAGAAATAATCTTTTGTCATAATTGGTGTTTCATTGATTGGTGGGATCTAGAGCCATCCTTACTTTGGCTTGTTAGTTGCTGCAGGTTTAAGATCCAGGGAGGCACCAGCAGTGGTGTGTGGTTCAGGCAGGACAAGAGGATGAGGTCTTTCTGTTGGTCTGAAATCTGAACTGTGCCATGTGTCACAGGCATCCCAGCCATGACTCTGAAAATGTGTTTCTTTTTGGTAGTATTCAATAAAGAATGAATAAGTGGAGAATATTTGAGCTCCTGTTCCTACCAGGAGAATGCTTTTCTCTGTGAGATGTGAGGTATGTTGACAGGGTTATGTCATGAAGCCTGTATTCCTCTTTCACAAATTCACTCCATAGGATTTCAGGAGATACATGCAAGTCTCAAAGGTTCCCCTCCTGCTTTCTCTTACTCCTTTGTCCTTGGGATAGAATAGGCCTGTCTTGATGTGTACTTAACAGATTTAGGCTTTAATCTTTTCAGAAGCTGGGCAGGCTCAGCGAAGGACTTGCTTTCTCCTTATTAGTAGCTGGATAATTGCTAACTGATATCTGTGTGAGATGTCACTCATGTTTGTAAAGAGCTGGCTAATATACTGAAGTATGTTTTCGGTCAGTGGGTAGTAGGGATGATAGGATTAATGATACTGAATCCTCTCTAACACCTCTCTTTTTTTGTTTGTTTAAGGCTACATGGCTTAGAGGAATTAAAAGCAGCATTTGTAGCCATGTCCACATTAGAAGCTCTCAGTGTTTCTTGTGGAGTTCCTTAAGCTTTGAATCATGATAGGCACAGTATGTGACCCTCTGATACCTAGAATACGAAATCCTTATCTGGCAGCAGCACTGCCTAAAGTAGACATTAGCTGTGTGCATTTAAGTATGAAAATGTGTGGTCGATGAAGAATTTTCTTCACAGATATCCCTGAAGTTGGCCAGAGTTCATGATGCTAGTAGGACCAGTGTGTTAGACTAGGTTGTTAGGATGCACGATTACCAACCCTGTAATCCAAGTAAAAATTGGAATACCATCTAGTTTTGAAGCTGCAGACCATATAGTAATTGAGGAAGGAAAGACAGTGATGTGTAACTGTGACCATAGGAGAAACGAGTATTGCAGCAACAGCTGTGGAACAGAACTGTGCAGAGTTCACTTGCTTGTTTTCATTCATACCTGCAGTTCAATATTTCACTCATTTTTATGTGCTGGGCTGTAAGATCCCTCATTTGTTCAGGGCTCTGTTACAATGGATATTGCAGTAAAGTCCCCAGTTTATCATGCATAGAATAAACTGATTTTATTTTCATAGCTTTTTCAGGTTGATATAAAATGAGAAAACAACACTTCTGCCTGCCTGAACCTGGTTAAACCTTGGTTGAACAAAAGTGGAAACTGAGTTGCCTACTTAATTTTTACAGTATTCAAAGGGGATAGGCTTCCAACCATTGTGGCTGACATCTTACAGCTTCAGTTGTTCTTTGGTTTGTCAGCTCCTGTAGCTGTACATTAGGGTGTGTTCATTGCAGTACTCTACGAGGAAAGAGTTTAATTGTTTGCTTTTCTCTTGTTTCAGAACAGAGAGCTCCAGATTATGAGAAAGTTGGATCATTGTAACATTGTCCGATTGCGTTACTTCTTCTACTCTAGTGGAGAGAAGGTAAGACTGGAAAACAAGGCAATGCTCCTGGTAACCTTCTGGGGTATAACTGAACTGTTTGTATTTCTAGAGACAGCGGTGTAAAGATAGGAAACATGATAACATGGAGAAAATGCCACAGTGATGCCCAGCGGATATGTTGGAACACATTTTTTTCAGTATGGAAGCGTGTGGTCCATGAGGAGTAGTGTTATTAGTACAATACAACAACAGTGCAACAGATTTGCATACACACTGTCTCCTTTTTAACTTATTGGAGCACAGCTATGCTTCATTTGCACGTTCAGGAGCTACCTTTTCACATGTGCAGATGTGTTTTCTAGGATGGGCTAGATGAGCTTGTGAACTGCCTCTGGTATTTTATATGTAGTTATAAACATTTACAGAAATTCTGTAATTTCTATAAATTTCATAATTTCTCACTTTTTAAAGCAGATTACATGCTTCATTCTCTTCAGATGCTGATGAACATGTGCACGATGCTGGAAAGAGCTGTATACAAGAGCTAATAGCTACTAAAGGGCTATTAACTGCTGTTACCGCTAACAGAATGGGAGCAGCATCCCACTTCACGGTCTTTGGAGGTAGACAAGTTGTTGGTGGCAGGTTGCTAAAGTCTTGTGCAGTGCACAAGAGGGATAATCAGAAGAGCTCTTCTGTTACCTCTTGGAGAGGTGCGTGTGGGGACCTGGCCCTGCACTTCGCTTGCTTTGCCTATGCCTATGGAAAACTTGCAAAACCACGTAGCAGGAATTAAGGAGAAATGAGATTTAATGTTTTTATGCTTGCTTTGTTTGGGTCAGCCCTTGCCTGGTGATAGCAGGCATTCACAGTGTGATATGGCTCTTGCAGGTTTTTTGGTAGTTAAGTGTCTTTTTTGTGAACTATATTGCACTCATTTAGCATGTAACCACAAATTCCTCCACAGCATGAGTACAAGAAGTGAAATAGAGTCAAGGAGGGTTTGGGTTCAGCTTGTAATTTGGCTAGGATGAAGTAGAATTTAATGAAACAAGCAGAAGACAACTGCCTTATCTAATGGCTTTCAGAAACCTCCTGCAGACAGTGGAAGTGTTAAAACTTCTCAGGACACTGCATTGGGATCCTTTGTGTAACAGTAACTTGAGTAAAACTCTTTCGGGAATCTTAACTTGATGTTGAGCTTGAGACTGGATTTTCTACTTTGCTGTTTCAGCTCCACGTGGCTGATTCTTGACAACACTGAGTTTTGATTTTAAAACTGCAGTCTCTTATCCATGAGCAGCAAATGTTAATACTCCAGTGGAAAGTTTTCTTTCACATTACTTTCACCTCTTCTCTCATCATGCCTCTGCTCTGTGCCTTTGAGATTTCCACTGCTGCCTTCTTGCAAAAGAGGACAAATGTGAACAAGTCCCTAGGGCAAAGGTGCATGCATCAGCACTGTAATGTTGGAGTTCCGGTTGCAAGGTCTCTTTGCAGTTCAATACACATGATAAGTAATAGGCTTGCAAGAATTTCCATGACACTTCATAATGAAGCTGGCTCTCAGGGCAATGGGTGAAACGGGAGAAAAGTGTAAGGGAACCAGGAAGGATGCTGGGTACCCAGAGCTTTATATAAACTGATTTTTGAAGCTAAGTCCAATGGGAAGAGTAGTGTAAAAATCCAAATAATGTGTGGTCGCATAGTGATGAATGGGGCTTGCAACTGTTGCCTGTTTTCATGGAGAACTTAAGAGTCCACTGCTATTTAGTCTCTGTTTCTCAAGTCTAACAGTAATGAGAGGTAACTTATACTGCCGATCCCTTTAATGAAATAGTTCATCGATGAACTTAATTTTGATACCAATGTAGATGAAGCATTCTCTTGCATAAAGTTTTTCATGCTGCTGTGATGTCTCCACCTGTTTGTTCCAGCTGGAGTGTTCCTTGGACTTCCCCCTTATTCCCCAGTGCTCGACACCAGTGTCTCTAAGCCCAGAGGCATGTCTTTCTTTGGCTCTTTCTTAGCCAATGCCTGAGAAGCTTAAATCTGTCTCGATTTTGGAGGTACTTCCAAGGATTTCTCCAAATCCAGTCAGACTGGCACTCTTTGAATGCTATGTGCCTAACAGCTACTTTATTTTAATTGCTAGGCATATTTTTAGGCACTGAGCAACCTTAAAACTAGCTTTATTCTAACAAAACAGTGGGTTTAATTCATTATTAGAAAACTTGACACAACAGAAAATAGCATCAGATAGAAAAAGAATTTGAAATAGCACTTGTTAGTAAGACTGTTCCTTAGCTGTGTCAGTTGTAGCTAGTTTATAGAGATTGGAGCTCTCTGATAGCTTTTCCTTGGGGCTATCTGTGGAACTGGTTGAAGCATCTGAGCTCCTCATTTTCCCTGCAATGAATTCGCCTTTTGTGTCTCCTGCTCACTTAAACTTCCTTCCTGATTTTACCAAAAGCAATCCAGCCTCAGCATGGAAGTCTTGTATCAAACATGGCTTTGACTGATTTGTTCACCTTTGTTTTCTGTGGATGGGTGGCTTCATCTTCTATGAACATCTTTGAATTTGTATTGCCTTTATATAGGTATGCCCTATTTGAGGTGGGTGTGTGCATGTCTGTATATATGCACGTACATGCACACACATATGTCTTTATATGTGTATATATATATATATAAACATTGTTCTGAGTACTGACTACATATCAATCATGTTTGACTAATGATTTCTACTTTAAGAGAGCTCAAAGAGAGCATGTAATGTATATTAATATGACAGTTGGCAGGCATGGCATTTGGGTTGCTTCTATAAACTAGTTGCTCCCTGCTTCTTTCCTTGTTCTAAGCTTATGGAACTTTGTCAGACCTGCCTGTTGGATAACCCAGTTCTTTCAAAAGACTTTTCCTTACCGAGTTTTTGTCTGAGGCTGTATGAGATACCTGATGGCAGGGCAATGACTTTTGTAGCTGTAATACGCTTCTCAGTAGTCCAGAACATGTAATTATAACTGGTGGAATGAACCAGAGGGTAAAGAAGGACAACCAAATAATGGGCTGAGTTGCATATGGAAGATTCTCTTGGTGGGAATAGTCGCAAGTCTTTTCCATGCTGTATTTCTGTGATTTGTGGTTTTCCTGGTAATCCTTAGAGAAAGCAAGCAAGATTATAGGGCAAACCAACTCTGCTGCGTTGTGTAGTTTTGGTATTGTCTTGAGTAAGATGCCTGGTTTGCCTGTCAGCTTGCCACTGGGAGGGAGATCAGGCTGTATTAGGAAGGCATGCATTTCTGGTTTGATTTTTTTCTACTTTTCCTTAATTTCAGGGACTGCCTTGCGTTTAGCATGATACATCAGTGTAAATGTTGGGTTGTTGAAGCAGGGGGAGATGGTCTTGCTGTGTGTCTTTTTTCAGCCTAATTATTCTGAGGACCTTTTTCAGTCGTGCTTCAAGGGAGGGTAGGCATGGACATACCCAATAACTCCTCTAGCTCATTTGTTGGAAGTATTCCCTGATGTTTTATAGCATGACCTAAGTTCTTAAATCAGTGGCTGCTGAGTAAAATTATTCAGCTGTGTAAAGCTTGAAATGAGAACCTAGTCCCCATTTTTCTTCTACCTCTATTTCTGGTTTAGCTCTTCCTTTGTGATATTTCATAGCTGTCAGGTTTTCTTTTGTGGATGCTTTTGAGTGTATAATAGTCTGATCAATTCATATCCATGCCCAAAAGAGGCAAAGAAGCACCGGAGAGATTTGTTCCTACATCAGATCATAAAAAAGTAAAGTAAATATAGTTTTTATGAAGTAATTGCATCTCTGATTATGTAACTCTCCCTCCCCCTCCCCCTTTAAGGTAGCTTGGGATTCAGAGGATTCAGAGGACTCAAAGCAAGCATATATGGAAACACAGAGAGATCACAGATATGCTGACTGTTTTGGAGGCTGTGCTAGCCCTTCTGCATGCTGTAATTGATTTCTAGTCTTATTTAGCCTCAGCTGTAAGGGCATGCAGCCAAAAGTCCATGCAGACTCACGATGGAAATTTACTCCAATAGACTTAGACTGAGGTTTAAAATAAACGTGCAGGAGATACATGTGGAGCTGCATGTACAAGCTGCTGTGCATGCATTTTGACAGTAGTATATTAAACTGCAACAAAGACATTAGGGAGAATCATAGAATGGGTAGGATTGAAAAGAGAGCAACTGTCTGATTTGCAAGTTTGGCCTTTGCTTGAATAGTTGGTGTTTCTCCAGGTTCATATCCCTGTTAGGAAGAGATAGCTAGCTACCCTTTCTTGCGGGAGTACTCAGATGAGTCCTCTCACAAGGACCATCTGTTGTGCACCCTGTTATTTGTATCTGTAGTTGAATGATTTGGTTTCGTCATTGAAAGAAATAAAGAAACAGAACAAGAAGTTCAATCAGCAGAGCCTTGAGCCCAGTTTTAAATTGCCAGAGCCTGTGTGAATGATTTGCACCAGTCTAGTGACGTGCTGAAGGGCTAGCAGTAGGAATGAATTTAGTCACTATGCTCCAGTCAGTCCTTGGCAGAACTGCTGCGCTGTCGACAAAGGAGCAATTAATGCCGATTATGAGGAGTTTTGTGATGTTGGTATCTCTGTAGTCCTTGCCTGAGGCCTGCCGAGCTCATTGCAGGAAGGGCAGTAGTCATTAGATAATGATTATCAGTTACTGCTGTTAGGGCTTGCAACATGCTGGGAATTTTCTTAGTTGTAGTTATGAGCAGTCTCTGGTTTTTGAGTGGGTTGTGTTAATAGAACTAACAGTTTTGTCTGCTTGTGGTAGGGCTAAGCACCAGTAGCTAGATTCTCAGTGTGATAGATGTGTGCAGTGGAAATGGGAAGCTCCATGGTTTTGCTCTAGTCCAGTACATCTGGTTAGTCACTCTTAAGTCATTCCACTTGCAGCTATAGCCACTGCTCTCATCTTCCTGTGTTGGGTGGCCATTAGGAAAGTAGCTCATATTGGTCGTCCTGAGGCAGGCATACAGTTTGAACCATTAT